GGGCAGGGCCGTCTGCGCCGGAGGGCAGGGGGGAGCGGAGCGGGGGGCTGGCTGCCTCCCCAGAGTGAGCGAGCCGGGGGGCTGCCAGCCTCGCAGCAAGGCTTGGTATGGGGACACACGCTGTGCTTTGTTCTGCTCTCCCTGATGAGGTCCCCAGGGGGGCTCTCAGCTCCGTCACCCAGAAGGACAAAGGGCTGTGGGGCATCTGAAGTCTTGCACTACACAGCTGCGTGATGTGGTTGCTGTTGGGTTTGTGACACAGCTGTGGCCAAAACGGCAAAGTTTTGTGAGGCTGGATGAAGAGAGGTGCTTTTCCTTCCTATTCTGTCAGTGAGCTCTCATCCCTGAGTGAATTCCTAAACATTTCAATTTAATCTCTCCACCAAAGTTAACCTTTCTTTAGTTACCTTCTGTGATCCTTTAGAAGGAATCTCTGTCCCCCAAGGCCTGTGACCCTAGTAGAAAACACTGGTGAGGGGTGTATGGGATCTTTTACATTGAAAGCATTTTGTTAACCATCCTGTTGTCTTCCCTGCCTCCGATGTCATTCCCTGCTTTGCTGTGATGCAGACTGCTGGAGTCCATGATTCCCGTGAAGATGATTAATTTCCCCCAGGTGAGTTCCTTTGACTGAATCAGACTCCATGACCCAAGTGATGGGTCCCACAGACACCTTATAGGACTTAATTAGTCCATGTTATTAAGGACCCAAGTTTGTTAGGTTTCATTTGCCTGAAAATGTTAGTGAACCCTTTCCTGTGGTTGTTCCAAACCCCAGCGTGCTACCTTTAGTGCTGGTACAGTTCTAGACCTCACGCATCCTCATCACACAACCTATTCTGCCTGGCTCCTGTCAGCGGTGGCATCGCCGTTATTTCTCAGGCGGATAGGTGATAAACGTCATCCAAGGAGCTTCTCACATGGCTGGGGTTGGGGAGCCTGGTATTCGGGAGCACTAACCCAACCTTCCCTGATCTGCCTCCTCCTGCAGAAGATTGCAGGCGAGCTGTATGGACCCCTCATGCTGGTTTTCACGCTGGTGGCGATCCTTTTGCATGGGATGAAGACCTCGGACACCATCATTGTACGGCGAGTCTCAGTGATAAGTCTGGGTTTGTCTGAGCTCTGCATTGCTGTAATGACACTAGAAAGGGAGAGAAAGCCTCTTCTTTGAATAGCATCTTGCTGAAAAGCAGACTGATTTGAGGAACAGCCTGTTGGTTTGGGGATGGGAGGAAGAAAACATCAGAAAATCTTGGTGCTCTGCTGCTGGGAGAGCGGGGGCATCGGTCATGTGGCACCCTGGGTGCTGCTAGTCAGCTATTTGGTAATCCCTGGAAAGGCTCTGGGAACTCTCTGTGATGGAATTTGGGTGCTAACAGGTCACTTAGAATCAGATAATAGAATATATCTTGAATTAGAAGGGACCCATAAGGATCATAGAGTCCAACTCCCTGCGCCTTGCAGGAATACCTAAAACTAAACCATACAACTACGAGTGTCATCCAGACACTCCTCCTCACTTCTTTGATTCCTCCTCATCCTGATGCTGTCTCCACAGAGGGAAGGCACGCTGATGGGCACAGCCATTGGTACCTGCTTCGGTTACTGGTTGGGCGTCTCCTCTTTCATCTATTTCCTGGCATATCTGTGCAATGCCCAGATCACGATGGTGCAGATGCTGTCGCTGTTGGTACGTACAGATGGGGATGCCCCATGGTGTGGGTTGGCTGCATGGTGTTCCAGCACAAGCGTGGCCTGTGAGCTCTTCCCAGAGAATGGAAAAAGTCCTTGAAAATCTTGAAAATCGGTGGTCCCAGATCACTGCACTGAGACAACCTGAAATTCCAGAATGAACCTGCCCCATCCCAGGCACTGCAGTAGCACAAAGAGGCAGTTCCTTCATGTGGGTCTCCTGCTTTGCACTTCCTGATCTGAGAGCCTGGGGGTAAAAAACGAGGAGATTCCAACTCCTCTGGAATCAGAGGCTCTTTCCTTTGTTTTCTAAGTTGTTGCAATCTCTGACATCCCTATGAATCTTTCAGAGAGATTGGGTGTGAGCTGTTGTTAAAATTGTTTTGCTGATTGACTCTCTGGCACTGAATGAGTGGTTTGTGAAGCTTTGCCTTGCTGAAGCATTGCAGGAGTAGGCTGCTCATGCTCTTGATCAACAGCCCTTTGTGTGGGACTGACACTTGTAATGTGGTTATTTTTGTTTTGTTAGGGCTATGGCCTTTTTGGACACTGCATCACTCTCTTTGTCACCTATAATATCCACTTCCACTCCCTCTTCTATATCTTCTGGTTGGTTGTTGGTGGACTCTCTACACTACGAATGGTAAGGGACAGGCAACCTGGGGCCCTCCTCTTCTGGGGGCAAAAAAAAGAGGAGGGGAGCATTGTTTGCTTTCTGTTCTTTGGGCCAGACAGTTCTTTTCACAGCCAGTCGGGCTGCTGTGAAGAACAGCCTGGGGCTCCTGGGTCATCTGGCCATGGGTGTATGGAACTGACACTTGCCTTAATATCCTCACACATTCTAACAGCTGCAGGAGATTTGCTCCCTTGCAGCCCCTGCTGCTGTGTGCCTGAGCATCCTGAACTCTTGAGAAGACGGGGCAGGGTTCACCTACACAAAACAGATTACTCTGAATTTGGCAATGCAAACTGCAAAAAAAGGCTCTGAGCAGCATTTCCTGTGTGGTCCTGACTGCAGTGCCAGAGGCTCAACTACCTTGTCTCTAATCTCCACCTCTCCCCTAGGTTGCTGTGTTGGTGTCGCGCACCGTGGGGCATACCCAGCGGCTCATCCTGTGTGGGACCCTCGCTGCTCTGCATATGCTTTTCCTCCTCTATCTGCACTTTGCTTATCACAAGGTGGTAGAAGGTAAGCAAGGGAGATATGAAGACATATCCTGTTAGATCTGGGGGAAGAGGAGCTGCTTTTTGTTCTGAGAGAAAGGATGGACAGTTTGGATCTGACCTGAGGGCAGCTGTGCCAGTTTGCAGCCCAAGAGTGACCAGCACTAGCTTTATTAGAGGAAGCTGTCAAAGTAGGGCAGCAGGTAGATGTAGGGTCATCTCTGTGCACTGAGTTTTAGCACTACAGCGCTTAGCGTCCTGCCTCACAACTTAGGTCTTAATTCTTTCCCCACAAGTGAAATGTTACAGCACTGACTGTTCTTGCATGCAGATGTCTAGTCCCTTCCTGAGTCTTGCTGAAGTCAGGTTGCTTTTGTCTGATCAGGAAATGTGTCCTAAGTCTTTTTCCTTCTTTATGTAACACATTTTTTTATCTTGTGTTGTACAACACTGATAGCAGAAGCTGCATCTTCCCCAGTCAGTGCCATTTAACAGGCTATACCTATTCAGGTCCCATTTAAAAAAAAAATTAAAAGCAGCAATCCCCTTTCTGAGTTAAGGCAGCTAGATTTTTTCATGGTATTGCAGCTAAATACTGTTCTTTCCTGGATCCATTCTTATGGCGAAGGTTCTGAGCCTTGATCTGCAACTTTTCAGCAGATGAAACAGAAAATTGCTTGGAGTATATTTTATCTTTCAAGGATCTCCAAGACTGATTATCAGTTTTGAGAAGGTCGTTGACAGGAACTGGAGGACACTTGCATCAGTACCCATGTTTCCAGCCAAGCAGGGGCTATGTTCGCATTGCAGTGACAAAAATTCCACGATGCACCCCCAGCTGCAGCTCCTGATGTGAGTCTGCACGGGTATCTCAGGATGAAAGCAAAGAATGGGTCTAAGAGCAGGGTCTGTGCTGGGATGAGGTGGGGAGAGGATTTTGCCAGTCTGCCTCAGCAGAGCAGTATCCCTGGCGATGTCTGCATTCGGATCCAAATTTCACTCAAAGTGAAAGGATCTGTGTTCCTCTTGGGAACATGCAGTTTCTCTGCCCCAAGGACAAGTTCTGATCTGTACCCTGTGGTCTCTGGACAGAGGTGTTTACTGCTGTTCATTTTTTTGGGGCTAGATGTCTCCTCCCATTGTCTCCAAGTGCTTTGTGAGCCCTGCCACTATTAGCCACTACCTGGCCAGAAACAAAAGCAAGAAGAAACATGCAGTCTGCATCTGAACTAAGTCTTGCCACTCCCCTTTTTTTTCTGTTCCCTGCAGGTATCCTGGACACATTGGAAGGACCCAACATACCACCCTTTCAGAGAGTTGCCAGAGACATTCCAGTTGTTTCCAATGCTGTACTGAACACAACAGCCAAAGCTGTTGCATTGACCCTGTAGTTTCACAGACTTGGACTTGCTTCCTTCACTACTTTTGGGGCTGCATAGGGCCATAATAACCTGCTGCCTCTTAGGAACTGGACAGAACAGCAAGAAGAAGACTTGGTTTTGTTCTCATGGACCTGTCCTTTCGGTTGTAGTTTTGGGCAGCTGAGTGGACTGCACCTCAGTGACTCACAAGAACTAC